GGTTGATGGAATGGACATCATTGTGGGGAGTAGTAGTCAGTGCCAAGACTGATATGCATATATTTTTTATTTTGTCATTTTCCAATAAGAACACCTATTTCCATTTTCCGTGAAAACTGTTTTGATACGGTGTGTCCTTCATAGACCACATACAAAAAAATAGAACAGTGATTCAAGTAAATAAACATAGACAGCATCATAAAAATGAATGTCAATCAACTTTATTTGTGTGGTGTGTGTGTGTGTGTGTGGGTGTTTGTGTGTGTGCGTGCTTTTGCGTGCGTGTGTGTTTCAGTATGTGATGTGTTCAGGGCTGTGGTGCCGGGTAGATGGAGAGAAGGACTGTAAAACCAAACTGGACCCACCCATGGATGGCACCGAATGTGACATTGGAAAGGTGGGTAGAACCACAGCCATTTATTAAGATACAGTACATGGCTCTGTGTAGAACATGTTGAGGACTGTCATTTGTGGACGCTGCTCTTTTTCACATGACTTCATTCAAGTTTTATTATCAAAACTAAATGTGCATCCCAAATGGCACTACTTATATAGTGCACTACCTTTATAGAGGGTGCTATTTGAGACGATTTGTCCTATTGAAACTACTTAACTTCATAATTACAGCACACAGCTTTTCAGACAAAAAAATGCATTCTATTATTTTTCAGGGTAGACTCTGTTGCACAAATTACTCTTATATCCCTTCTGTATATAGTGCACTATAATTTGACCAGAGCCTTATGGGACCTGTTCAAAAGTAGTGCACTATCTAGAGAATAGGGTGCAATTTGGGACGCAGCCGATGTCTTTATTAATTCATCACATTAAAATCAACAGGATACAGGTCACTACCAAATTGTCCCTCAATACCAGCCTCACAAATATGAAATCATATTTTCCACACGAGCCCAAGCAAGGAGCCGTTGCTGCAAGAGAAAAGAGAACGAGTGAGGGAGAGAGAGAGGGAAAGCGAGAGAGAGAGAGAGAGAGAGAGAGAGAGAGAGAGAGAGAGAGAGAGAGAGAGAGAGAGAGACAGAGAGAGAGAGACAGAGAGAGAGAGAGAGAGAGAGAGAGAGAGAGAGAGAGAGAGAGAGAGAGAGAGAGAGAGAGAGACAGAGAGAGACGAGAGAAAGAGAGAGCCATCCTCTCTGAGAGATATTATAAACAGGGAGATGAGAAACAGCCTGTGGGCCCAGCTGTGGCCGCTCAAGGCAAACCCCTGGCCCCGCTTCAGACCATCTCCCTTTGTGTATCCACGCTGACAGCCAACATGATGCAGAGCACCGCGCGGAGCCCAAACCACCGTAAACCCTGCTAGTAACGTCACCAGGAGCATGTTGTATGTTGTTATGTTGTCTGTTAGCCACGGTTGAGTATTAGATGTTAAGAGTAGTGAAGTGCAGAAGGGAGTCTATTGAGACTTTGTCCTTAGATGCACCATTTATAATCTGTAACAGCCCATGTAGAAATTCAAGTGCAGTCTCTTGTAGAAATATGCTTTCATTGATCACCAATGTGTACGTTGTGAAAAAAAATTTTTTTGGGGGGGGGGGCTTTGAATAAGGCAGGTGAACTCTGGAGAATGTTACATGTCATCAGAGCGGACAGGACGCATTATATAGTGCGACCCCACTTCTAGGGCAGTGCTTGAACTATTTCAGGTATCTTGGAATGGGTGGGTTGTATCAGTGAAAAAGTTGACAGAAGTGTCAATAATGATGATGAGCACACCCCAGAGTTCAATCAGACCCTGAATCCTCTGTTTACATAGCTCAACACATCAGCGGCAACACAATCAGCAGCAGGTCAACGTCCAAGGCCAAGGTTAACGGGTTACACTGTGAGCGCAGCGTTGTTTTGTATTACTGTTGTGTTCAGGTGTTCAGTCGTGGGGTTTGATGACAGCGTTGTAGGTTTGGATACTGTGTCAAGTTTTCAAGTGTGTGTGTATGTGTGTGTGTATGTGTGTGTCTGTGTGTGTGTGTGTGTGTGTGTGTGCGTGCATGTGCGTTTGCGTGTGTGTGTGTGTGATGTCCTCATGCAGTGGTGTCGTGCTGGGGAGTGTGTGAGCCGAGTGGTGCCAGTGGAGCCAGCCATGGGGGAGTGGAGCACCTGGGGGTCCTGGGGAGCCTGCAGTCCAACCTGCAGCACGGGCATCAGTGGACGCCAGCGCAAGTGTGAGAGTCCCAGGTACTTTACACTGTAACGACTGTCTCTTTGAGTAGAGTCCCAAGTACTTTACACAGTAACGACTGTCTCTTTGAGTAGAGCTACATGTACTTTACACTGTAACAACTGTCTCTTTGAGTAGAGCTACATGTACTTTACACTGTAACAACTGTCTCTTTGAGTAGAGTCCCAGGTACTTTAAACTGTAATGACTGTCTCTTTGAGTAGAGTCCCAGGTACTTTACACTGTAACGACTGTCTCTTTGAGTAGAGTCCCAAGTACTTTACACAGTAACAACTGTCTCTTTGAGTAGAGTCCCAGGTACTTTAAACTGTAATGACTGTCTCTTTGAGTAGAGTCCCAGGTACTTTACACTCTAACGACTGTCTCTTTGAGTAGAGTCCCAAGTACTTTACACAGTAACAACTGTCCCTTTGAGTAGAGTCCCATGTACTTTACACTGTAACGACTGTCTCTTTGAGTAGAGTCCCAGGTACTTTACACTGTAACGACTGTCTCTTTGAGTAGAGTCCCAGGTACTTTACACTGTAACGACTGTCTCTTTGAGTAGAGTCCCAGGTACTTTAACTGTAACGACTGTCTCTTTGAGTAGAGTCACAGGTACTTTAACTGTAACGACTGTCTCTTTGAGTAGAGTCACAGGTACTTTACATTGTAACAACTGACTCTTTGAGTAGAGCTACAGGTACTTTACACTGTAACGACTGTCTCTTTGAGTGGAGTCCCAGGTACTTTACACTGTAACGACTGTCTCTTTGAGTAGAGCTACAGGTACTTGACATTGTAACGACTGTCTCTTTGAGAAGAGCTACAGGACCTGATGGTCACTCTGACAGAGCTCTAGAGTTCCTCTGTGGAGATGGGAGAACCTTCCAGAAGGACAACCATCTCTGCATCACTCCACTAATCAGGGCTTTATGGTAGAGTGGCCAGACTCCTCAATAAAAGGCACATGACAGCCCACTTGGAGTTTGCCAAAAGGCACCTAAAGACTCTCAGACCATGAGAAACAAGATTCTCTGGTCTGATGAAACCAAGATTTAACTCTTTGGCCTGAATGCCAAGCGTCACGTCTGGAGAAAACCTGGCACCATCCCTACGTTGAAGCATGGTGGTGGCAGCATCATGCTGTGGGGATTTTCTTCAGCGGCAGGGACTGGGAGACTAGTCAGGATCAAGGGAAAGATGAATGGAGCAAAGTACAGCACGATCCTTGATGAAAACCTGCTCCAGAGACTCACGACCTCAGACTGGGGCAAAGGTTCACCTTCCAACAGGACAACGACCCTAAGCACACAGCCAAGACAACGCAGGAGTGGCTTCGGGACAAGTCTCTGAATGTCCTTGAGTGGACTAGCCAGAGCCCGGACTTGAACCCGATCGAACATCTCTGGAGAGACCTGAAAATAGCTGTGCAGCAACGCTCCCCATCCAACCTGACAGAGCTTGAGAGGATCTGCAGAGAAGTATGGCAGAAACTCCCCAAATACAGGTGTGCTAAGCTTGTAGCGTCATAACCAAGAAGACTCTATGCTGTAATCGCTGCCAAAGGTGCTTCAACAAAGTACTGAGTAAAGGGTCTGAATACTTATGTAAATGTGATATTTCTGTTTTTAATTTTTTATAAATTAGCATACATTTCTAAAAACCTGTTTTTGCTTTGTCGTTATGGGGTATTGTGTGTAGATTGATGATGGGAAAAAAACAATTTTATTAATTTTAGAATAAGGCTGTAACATAACAAAATGTGTAAAAAGTAATGGACAGATTTTTCACCTTGTCGGCTTGGGGATTCGAACCAGCGACCTTTCAGTTACTGGCCGAACGGTCTCAACCGCTATGCTTTACATCATTGATCTTGACCTTCATTCCATGCATTTTGTTTTGTATTGTCTCTGTGGGACCAGTGGGAAGAGCCGGGACTGTGTCGGCTCCAGGATGCAGTACAGGATGTGTGAGAGCCCACCCTGCCCTGTTGGGATCCCCAGCTTCAGAGACCAACAGTGCCAGACCTTCAATCGTCCCTCTCTACACTGGCACTCCGTCATGGATGATGGTAAATATCTAGATCATAGACTGTATAAAAAATCAAATAATAATCCAGCACAGATCAGACTTGCAAAGACCAGGCTGCCTATCATACACCCCCGATTTTCGCATTTCATTTTCTCACCTCGTTGTGCCTCGTTGTGCCTCGTTGTGCCTTGCATCCCCCGTAGTTCAGCCGACCATGTCTCATCCATGGTAATGATGTTGCTCTCCTTTTATCTTATTTTGCCCGTACGGTACTCACTGAAGTTCACACCGGCGTTTATTTGAAACAGGCGTTTATTTGCTGAAAAGTGTGCCGATGCCCGTCTACTAAAAGGGACAGGCAGCTATTTGAGACGGTGTTTAGTTGAAGTTAAAAAAATAAAAAAGTTTTACAGTACACTATTCACAATTACTGCAGTGCAGTTCTCTAAACCGCCAACTCCCTCTTAGACACGAACTCTCAAACCCTAATATCTTGCTTTGCTCAAGCCTCTTTCTTGGTCTAATTTTGCCTGTTGAGGTGGAATTTGTAAGCCAAACCAGTCTGTGTTTGTTTGAGCGTGCCGTGCGCATACCTGTGTGTGTGTGTGTGTGTGTGTGAGGCCCATGTTAGCGCTAGCCCCAGGCTACAGTAAGTGAAGCTGGGTTCTGTGCAGAATGACAAACAGGCTCTCCGGTGGCTCTCTCTGCTCTGGATGACATCACTGGATGACATCACTGGATGACATCACTGCACAGACGCTCTGCCTGCTGGAGCACAAAGCTCCTTTCATCAGGCAAGGGGTCTCCCCCTCCTTCTCTCTCCTTCTCTCTCCTTCTCTCTCCTTTCGCTCTCCATCCTCTTCGCCGTCTCGCGCTTCCTTCTCTCTCCTTCTCTACTTCTCCTCCTTCTCTCCTCCTTCTCATCTCCTTCCCCCTCCTTCTCGTCCTTCATCTCCTTCTCTCTCCTCTCGATCCTCATCTCTCTCTCTCCTTCTCTCTCCGTCTCGCTCGCTTCTCTCGTTCCTATCCCTTCCCCTTCCTATCTCTCCTTCTCTCCTCCCTTCTTCAATCGCCTTCTCTCTCCTTCTCTCTCCTTCTCTATCCTTCTCTCTCCTTCTCTATCCTTCTCTCTCCTTCTCGCTCCTCTCTCCTTCTCTCCCTAACTATTTATTTCTTTCTTTCTTCTTATCTATCGAATATTTCCTCTTCTCTTCAAACTCTCTGTTTTTCCTCTTCTCTAAACCAAGCTCGTTCATCCTAGCCGATCATATTCTCTCTCTCTCTCCTCATCTCTCTCTCTCTCCTCTCTCTCTCCTCTCTCTCTCATCTCGTCTCTCTCCTTCTCACGCTCCTCTCGCTCTCTCATCTCTCTCTCCTCTTTCTCTCGTCTCTCTTTCTCTTTCCTTTCCTCTTTCCTCTTTCTTCTCTCAAATTCAAATTCAAATTCACAGCGGCTTTAGTTGGAAATGAAAAATTGCCGTCAATATTTCCAAAGCAACAATGTATACAATATACATTGTAATAAAATAATAAAGAATAAAGAATAATAATATAAAATGGTAGTAAATAATAATACAAAAAAAATATATAATACAAATAATAATAACAACAATAAAATGTTAACAGTCAACAGTAGAAATATAATAAATATATAAAAGGCTAAACTTGGAAAATGAAACTATAACTAACTTTTAACTAATTAACTGTCATCCTCACCATTACATCAGTACTACAACTACCATCATCATTACTACCACTATGTCACGATCGTCTAAGGAGGGAGAGGACCAAGGCGCAGCGTTGAAAGCAAACATATTTATTTTATCAAGATCACACGATCAAAACAACGAAACGTGACGTCCTTGGTTACAAAAACAAACCAACACGGAACAAGAAACCACAACACAAAGTGAAAAGACCGATAGTTAAATATGGCTCCCAATCAGAGACAACCAGCTGTCACTCGTTGCCTCTGATTGGGAGTCACTCAGCCCAACATAGAAAATCAAACATAGAATACACACCCTGGCTCAACATAACATTGTCCTCAGAGCCAGGGCGTGACAGTACCCCCCCCTAAAGGCGCGGACTCCGACCGCGCCAACTAAATCCCACAGGGGAGGGACCGGGTGGGCACTCCGCCTTGGCGGCGGATCCGGCTCCGGGCCTGATCCCCACTCCCTCTCCAACCCCCCAAAGTACCCCTGGTCCGGTCTGGCCCCGCTGGCCGGAGCCGGACTGACGATACGCACCCCTGGCTTGGTGCGTGGAGCAGGAATGGACCGGACTGGGCTGGCGACGCGCACCACAGACTTGGTGCGGAGAGCAGGAACGGGCCGGACAGGGCTGACGAAACGCACCACAGACTTGGTGCGGCGAGCAGGCACGGGCCGTGCCGGACTGATGACGCACACCACTGGCTTGGTGCGGGGAGCTTGGATGGACCGGACTGGGCTGGCGACGCGCACCACAGACTTGGTGCGGAGAGCAGGAACGGGCCGGACAGGGCTGACGAAACGCACCACAGACTTGGTGCGGCGAGCAGGCACGGGCCGTGCCGGACTGATGACGCACACCACTGGCTTGGTGCGGGGAGCTTGGATGGGCCGGACTGGGCTGGCGACGCACCCCGTAGGCTTGGTGCGTGGAGCAGGGACTGGCCGGGCTGGGCTGGCGACGCACACCGTAGGCTTGGTGCGGAGAGCAGGAACGGGCCGGACAGGGCTGACGAAACGCACCACAGACTTGGTGCGGAGAGCAGGCACGGGCCGTGCCGGACTGATGACGCACACCACTGGCTTGGTGCGGGGAGCTTGGATGGGCCGGACTGGGCTGGCGACGCACCCCGTAGGCTTGGTGCGTGGAGCAGGGACAGGCCGGGCTGGGCTGGTGACGCGCACCGTACACTTGGTGCGAGGGGCTGGAACAGGCCGGACCGTACTGGGGACACACACCACTGGCTCTACCTCGGGATCTGGAACGGGCCGGACCGGACTGGTAACACACCCCAGTACCTCTCGCCGTGCCTCTACATCCTCCATCCCCTCTTCGACCAGTGGCCCCCGTAACCTGGCGGCCTCCTCTGGCAACCCGCTGGGCCGCTCTATCGCGGCCTCCTGCTGGTCCGACGTCGTGAGCCCCCCCCTAAAAATTTTCTGGGGGTCTCTCCTCCCCGTGGGCCAGGCCTCCATCGTTCTCGCCAGACTCTCACCCCACTGCTCCAAAGTCCAACCTCTCTCCTCTTCTCTTGGCTTGGCCCAGTCGAGACTCCTACTCAACTGCTCCCAAGTCCATCCTCTCTCTTCTTCACGCTGCTTGGTCCTGTTATGGTGGTTTCTTCTGTCACGATCGTCTAAGGAGGGAGAGGACCAAGGCGCAGCGTTGAAAGCAAACATATTTATTTTATCAAGATCACACGATCAAAACAACGAAACGTGACGTCCTTGGTTACAAAAACAAACCAACACGGAACAAGAAACCACAACACAAAGTGAAAAGACCGATAGTTAAATATGGCTCCCAATCAGAGACAACCAGCTGTCACTCGTTGCCTCTGATTGGGAGTCACTCAGCCCAACATAGAAAATCAAACATAGAATACACACCCTGGCTCAACATAACATTGTCCCCAGAGCCAGGGCGTGACACACTACTACCACCACCATCATTAAACTGCTATCATTACCATCCCCCCTACTACCCATACCACTACTATTTGGAATAATGATCACAATAATAATAATTATAATAGTAATAACAATAATAGTAGTAATAATAATTATAATAATTATAATAATAGTAATAATAGTAATAACAATAATACTAATAATAAGTAAGTTACTGTTTACTATGCAGATGTTATTATTCAGTGTCCCTCGGGCTGTGGCAGGCAAATACATATTTGGCTGCAAGAGGAGCCGTTGCTCCTTCGCCCATGAGTATTTTTAGTTTTTCCTCTGGGTTTAATAAGTAAAAATTTGGAATAAATGTAGTAATTTCTGCGTATAATGAATCTCTTGGTGAGGAATATTTATCACAGTAAAGGTGAAAGTGCATTTCTGTTTCTACCTCCCCAGTCGTGCAGTGACCACATACACGCTCCTCTTTGGGTAGCCATGTCTTTTTATGTCTGCCGGTTTCTATTGCCAATTGATGGTCACTCAGCCTGTACTTGGTAAGGATCTGTCTCTGCTTCGTACCTCTGACAGAGTAGAGATAATCAGCCAATTCATATTCTCTGTTTAGGGACAGATAGCAATTTAGTCGGCTTTGGGATTTTGTTTCGTTTTTCCAATGTTGTAAATATGAGTCTTTTGATTGGTTCATGATTTTGTTTATTTGAAATCTTTCTTTTGAAGCAGTGCTGGTGTCAGCTTGGTTGGTTAGGTCCAACACCAGCTGACTGAGAGGGCTCGTTTCTGGGCTCAGCTCTTGAATTTGGACTTGAATTTAGATGTAGCCAAAATGTTAATGATCTTTTCTGTATTTTCATTACCACTGGAAAGCGGCCTATCCTACACTACATGCATTAGTTGGTGTATTTCTTTGGACTTGTAGAATATTCCGACAGAATTCTGCATGTAGGGCTTCAATTGGAGGTTTGTCCCACATTTTAAAGTCCAGTTTATTGCGTGGCCCCCAAACCTCACTTCGTAAAGAGCTATTGGTAGGATTACGCTGTCAAATATTTTGGACCAAATTCTAACTGGAATGTTGATTTTGAATAATTTCATTATTATTGCATACAATCCTCTACAGGCTTTTTCTTTGAGTGCATTCACTGCCATATTAAAGTTTCCCGATGCAGATATGGTCAGACCAAGGTACAGTGAGGGAAAAATGTATTTGATCCCCTGCTGATTTTGTACGTTTGCCCACTGACAAAGACATGACCAGTCTATAATTTTAATGGTAGGTTCATTTGAACAGTGAGAGACAGAATAACAACAAAAAAATCCAGAAAAACGCATGTCAAAAATGTTATAAATTGATTTGCATTTTAATGAGGGAAATAAGTACTTGACCCCCTCTCAATCAGAAAGATTTCTGGCTCCCAGGTGTCTTTTATACAGGTAACGAGCTGAGATTAGGAGCACACTCTTAAAGGGAGTGCTCCTAATCTCAGTTGTTACCTGTATAAAAGACACCTGTCCACAGAAGCAATCAATCAATCAGATTCCAAACTCTCCATCATGGCCAAGACCAGAGAGCTCTCCAAGGATGTCAGGGACAAGATTGTAGACCTACACAAGGCTGGAATGGGCTACAAGACCATCGCCAAGCAGCTTGGTGAGAAGGTGACAACAGTTGGTGCGATTATTCGCAAATGGAAGAAACACAAAATAACTGTCAATCTCCCTCGGCCTGGGGCCCCATGCAAGATCTCACCTCGTGGAGTTGCAATGATCATGAGAACAGTAAGGAATCAGCCCAGAACTACACGGGAGGATCTTGTCAATGATCTCAAGGCAGCTGGGACCATAGACAATTGGTAACACACTACGCCGTGAAGGACTGAAACCCTGCAGCGCCCGCAAGGCCCCCCTGCAAAAGAAAGCACATATACAGGCCCGTCTGAAGTTTGCCAATGAACATCTGAATGATTCAGAGGAGAACTGGGTGAAAGTGTTGTGGTCAGATGAGACCAAAATCGAGCTCTTTGCCATCAACTCAACTCGCCGTGTTTGAAGGAGGAGGAATGCTGCCTATGACCCCAAGAACACCATCCCCACCGCCAAACATGGAGGTGGAAACATTATGCTTTGGGGGTGTTTTTCTGCTAAGGGGACAGGACAACTTCACCGCATCAAAGGGACGATGGACTGGGCCATGTACCGTCAAATCTTGGGTGAGAACCTCCTTCCCTCAGCCAGGGCATTGAAAATGGGTCGTGGATGGGTATTCCAGCATGACAATGACCCAAAACACACGGCCAAGGCAACAAAGGAGTGGCTCAAGAAGAAGCACATTAAGGTCCTGGAGTGGCCTAGCCAGTCTCCAGACCTTAATCCTATAGAAAATCTGTGGAGGGAGCTGAAGGTTTGAGTTGCCAAACATCAGCCTCGAAACCTTAATGACTTGGAGAAGATCTTCAAAGAGGAGTGGGACAAAATCCCTCCTGAGATGTGTGCAAACCTGGTGGCCAACTACAAGAAACATCTGACCTCTGTGATTGCCAACAAGGGTTTTGCCACCAAGTACTAAGTCATTTTTTGCAGAGGAGTCAAATACTTATTTCCCTCATTAAAATGCAAATCAATTTATAACATTTTTGACATGCATTTTTCTGGATTTGTTGTTGTTATTCTGTCTCTCACTGTTCAAATAAACCTACCATTAAAATTATAGACTGATCATGTCTTTGTCAGTGGGCAAACGTACAAAATCAGCAGGGGATCAAATACTTTTTTACCCTCACTGTATGAGTAATTTTTTAGTGTGTTCAATTATGGTGTTGTTCACGGTGAATTTATATTTGTGTTTCTGACACCTGGGTTTTTTCTGGAAAATCATGATTCTAGTTTTTTTTTTATGTACTGCCAGGGCCCAATTATGGCAATAATGCTCTAGAAGATTAAGATACTGTTGAAGACCTTTGGTTGGTAATAGAATAACCAAATCATCAGCATATAGCAGATATTTTACCTCTGTGTCAAATAGTGTGAGTCCTGGGGCTGCAGAATGGTCCAACATGTCTGTTAATTAATTGATATACATATTGAAAAGGTTTGGATTCAAACTGCAGCCTTGTCTCACACCTTGACGTTGCGAAAATAATTATGTTCTTTGGTTTTTAATTTTTATTGCACACTTGTTTTCTGTGTACAAGGAGTACCAGTTAAACGTTTGGACACACCTACTCATTCAAGGGTTTTTCTTTATTTTTACTATTTTCTACATTGTAGAATAATAGTGAAGACATCAAAACTATGAAATAACACATATGGAATCATGTGGTAACCAAAAAAGTTATAAACAAATCAAATATATTATAGATTTTAGATTCTTCCAAGTAGCAACCCTTTGCCTTGATGACAGCTTTGCACACTCTTGGCATTCTCTCAACCAGCTTCATGAGGAATGCTTTTCCAACAGTCTTGAAGGAGTTCGCACATATGCTGAGCCCTTGCTGGCTCCTTTTCCTTCACTCTGCGGTCCAACTCATCCCAAACCATCTCAATTGGGTTGAGGTCGGGTGATTGTGGTGGCCAGGTCATCTGATGCAGCACTCCATCACTATCCTTGGTCAAATAGCCCTTATACAACCTGGAGGTGGTTTTGGGTCATTGTCCTGTAGAAAAACAAAAAATAGTCCACTAAGCGCAAACCAGATGGGATGGCGTATCGCTGCAGAATGCTGTGGTAGCCATGCTGGTTAAGTGTGCCTTGAATTCTAAATCACAGACAGTGTCACAAGCAAAGCACCCCCACACATCACACCTCCTCCTCCATGCTTCACGGTGGGAACCACACATGCAGAGATCATCCGTTCACCTACTCTGAGTCTCACAAAGACACGACGGTTGGAACCAAAAATCTCAAATTTGGACTCATCAGACCAAAAGGACAGATTCCACTAGTCTAATGTCCATTGCTCGTGTTTCTTGGCCCAAGCAAGTCTCTTCTTATTATTGGTGTCCTTTAGTAGTGGTATCTTTGCAGCAATTCAACCATGAAGGCCTGATTCACGCATTCTCCTCTGAACAGTTGATGTTGAGATATGTCTGTTACTTGAACTCTGTGAAGCATTTATTTGGGCTGCAATCTGAGGTGCAGTTAACTCTAATGAATTTATCCTCTGCAGCAGAGGTAACTCTGGGTCCTCTTTTCCTGTGGCAGTCCTCATGAGAGCCAGTTTCATCATAATGCTTGATGGTTTTTGCGACTTGAAGAAACTTTCGAAGTTGTTGAAATTTTCCAGATTGACTGACCTTCATGTCTTAAAGTAATGATGGACTGTCATTTCTCTTCGCTTATCTGAGCTGTTCTTCCCATAATATGGACTTGGTCTTTTACCAAATAGGGCTATCTTCTGTATACCACCCCTACCTTGTGTCACGATCGTTGAGAGACGGGTCAGACCAAGGTGCAGCGTGAAAAGCGTACATGTTTATTTAACTCAATAAACATAAACAAAACAAGAAACAACGTAACGTGAAGTCCTCAGGCTATACACATACAAGCCTACCACGGAACAAGATCCCACAATACACAGTAGGCAAGGGCTACCTAAGTATGATCCCCAATCAGAGACAACGAGCTACAGCGGCCTCTGATTGGGAATCATACCCGGCCAGACATAGAAACAGAAAACTAGAACCTAAACATAGAATTTCTAGCATAGATTTCCACACCCTGACTCAACAAACTAGAGTTATATAGGTCAGGGCGTGACACCTTGTCACAACACAACTGATTGGCTCAAACGCATTAGGAAGGAAAGAAATTCCACAAATTAACTTTTAAGAAGGCACACCTGTTAATTGAAATGCATTCCAGGTTACTACGTCATGAAGCTGGTTGAGAGAATGCCAAGAGTGTACAAAGCTGTCATCAAGGCAAAGGGTGGCTACTTTGAAGAATCTCAAATATAAAATATATTTTGATTTGTTTAACACTTTTTTGGTTACTACTTGATTCCATATGTGTTATTTCATAGTTTTGATGTCTTCACTATTACTCGACAATGTAGAAAATAGTAAAAATAAAGAAAAACCCTTGAATAAGTAGGTGTGTCCAAAAATAAGTACAATGCAATGCAATCTGTAACCCCTTGTACGTGTGTGTGTGTGTGTGTGTGTGTGTGTGTGTGTGTGTGTGTGTGTGTGTGTGAGAGAGAGAGAGTGAGAGTGAGAGTGTGTGTGTGTGAGTGAATTAAAAGGTCTGTCTAGTCCAGTAGTCTGCATATTAGATGCAGTAGTTGGAGCACCTCTCCAATCTCTGATAGTTCTAGGTGTCTTTTGCCAGAGGTTACCTTAGCATATGTAGGCTGATGATCTGAATGATACATGGTGAGGACTGCATCACTTCTCTGAAGGACAGTGTTCTGTCCGACCCTAGAGTATTGATCAGTGCTGTGCTGCAATGGGCCGGGTCTAGTAGAGCTGTGTTGTGATGGGCCGGGTCTAGTAGAGCTGTGCTGCAATGGGGTCTAGTAGAGCTGTGTTGTGATGGGGTCTAGTAGAGCTGTGTTGTGATGGGCCGGGTCTAGTAGAGCTGTGTTGTGATGGGCCGGGTCTAGTAGAGCTGTGTTGTGATGGGGTCTAGTAGAGCTGTGTTGTGATGGGCCGGGTCTAGTAGAGCTGTGTTGTGATGGGCCGGGTCTGGTCTGGTAAATCTGTGCTGTGTTGGGCCAGGTCTTGTAGAGTTATGCTGTAATAAGCCGTGTCTGGCTCTTCTCTCCTGGGGATGGTAGGGGTACTGTTGTTTCAGAAAGTGGAGCAGGGGGCCTCTGCTGCTGGGTGATGGGTGTGTGGGTCCCTACCAAGTGTTACATCCTTAAGGTCCTTAGCAAAGGTTCTGACACTGTCCTGATCAAGGTGTACATTATCATATCAGTGTTCACATGTCCGAGTAGGATGGTGAGCCATTCTGACGTTGAGCAGTGAGTCACAGTCCACAGTGATCTGTTGATTTATTTTGTCAATCAACTGTCCTGGGAAATATTTTCTTGGTAGGAGGGTGGACACAACTATATTGGTTGTTGGGAACATAGCCTGTGCCCGTTCTGCCACTCTTCTCACTGCCCCAGATACATTTTCACCTTTGGCACGAAGGTCGTTTGTGCCAGTGTGGATGATGATGTTGTCAGGGGTGTCAATCCTGGTCTGACGGAGTAGCTGCATTGCACTTTCAGTTGTAGGACACCAGAATTTATACACCTGGTGTCTAGGGAATAATCTTTCCTGGACCAAGAACTTCGATAAGGATTGCAGTTGTGGGTGGTTGTCTGGGTGGAGCAGATTTGGAGGCTGGAGCAGACTGGGAGGCTGGTATTCTGACCTGGGCTGGAGCAGACTGGGAGGCTAGTATTCTGACCTGGGCTGGAGCAGACAGGGAGGCTGGTATTCTGACCTGGGCTGGAGCAGACAGGGAGGCTGGTATTCTGACCTGGGCTGGAGCAGACTGGGAGGCTAGTATTCTGACCTGGGCTGGAGCAGACAGGGAGGCTGGTATTCTGACCTGGGCTGGAGCAGACAGGGAGGCTGGTATTCTGACCTGGGCTGGAGCAGACTGGGAGGCTAGTATTCTGACCTGGGCTGGAGCAGACAGGGAGGCTGGTATTCTGACCTGGGCTGGAGCAGACAGGGAGGCTGGTATTCTGACCTGGGCTGGAGCAGGGAGGCTGGTATTCTGACCGGGCTTGAGCAGAGGCTGGTAGCAGACAGGGAGGCTGGTATTCTGACCTGTGCTGGAGCAGACTGGGAGGCTAGTATTCTGACCTGGGCTGGAGCAGACAGGGAGGCTGGTATTCTGACCTGGGCTGGAGCAGACAGGGAGGCTGGTATTCTGACCTGGGCTGGAGCAGACTGGGAGGCTGGTAGGTTGACCTGGACTGGAGCAGACTGGGAGGCTGGTTGGCTGACCTGGACTGGAGCAGACTGGGAGACTGGTGCAGTGTCATCAGGCTGTGTGGTGGATGCCATGCTGGTTATGCTGGTCTCAGGTTCTGCCTGTGTTGTACCAAGCTGGTGGACATGTTCTCTAGATGCAGAGGACATAATGACTAGCTGCTGGTTGAGGGGGTCAATATACCTCTCTCTCTGCTCTAGTTCCTCTCTTGTTGTGCTCAGATGGTCTCTGAGGTCATCATTTGTCTGACTCAGTTTGTCCATTCTGCTTTCTAATTTAGCAATAGATGCTCTGCTCTCCTCCCTGAACTGTTTCATCTCTTCTTTTAGTTTCTGGACAGTGTCATCCTCTTGAAGCTTGTTCTCTCTGAGTTCTATGACCTCTGCTTCGACTAGAGAGAGGCTGTTGTGGAAACGTTGCATAGCAGGTGTTCTTGGTGTTGTAGTGTTGGCTCTGTCTGCTGCAGGTGAGGTAGGTAGAGGGACACAGGGTGTCTTGCTGGGTCACAGAGACTGTTGGGGGTGTTGGGGGTCTCTCTCTCTCTCTCGCTCTCTCTCTCTCTCTCTCTCTAATTTTCTCTATGTCTCTCTCTCTCTCTCTAATTATCTATATGTCTCTCTCTCTCTCTAATTATCTCTATGTCCCTCTCTCTCGCTCTCCATCTTTGTCTCTACCTCATTTGATTGGTTAAAGATCAGACACTGTCAATGAAGATATGCAGGAACTGCTTCCTTGGAAACCTAACCATGGGCTATGTTATCCAGGTGCATTTGTGATAACGGAAAGGTCGCTGGTTCTAATCCCTGAGCTGATTGGTGAAGAATCTGTTGATGTGCCCTTGAGCAAGGCACTTAACCCTAATTGCTCCTGTTAGTCGCTCTGGAGAAGAGCATCTGCTAAATGACTAAAATGTAAATTATAGCATGTGGATACAATGTATTCTTCAAATGCACTCATGGCTGATATACATGATCAAAACCATCTTTGATAAGGAGCACGGATTTGGACTGTCTCCCGGTGCTCCCAATCCCACATTCCTCCATATTTGGAGCAGAAACTGTAAAACTTGGCTTCGACTGTGAGATTTGGGAGATGGCGAGTGTTGGACATCTCATGTGTACAACACGATGCTGCGGCTGGAAGGCTGCTCGCATAGCTCTGACCTCAAGTCTGCGTCTCAAATGTCACCCTATTCCCTACATAGTGCGCTACTTTTGACCAGAACCCTATGGTTCCATTTGGGATGCAGACCAAGTCTGCACTCGGTGCCAAGTCCTGGCATATTGCACGAATCAGTATAAACCTGTCGGCCGCATGTACGCACGCTTAAGTGTTCAAAGATGGGGATTGAATGTTTACAACGCAGCCTCGTCAAACACTGCGAGAGATTAATGCGCCTGGAAGACGTTTCGCGACCATTTCGCGACGCCGCAATTAGTTAACTCTTGGCCCCCCGCTCAACCGAGCCAGACCAAACCAAAGGCGGGCTGCTTTTTAAACATATCGCTGGCTTTTTAAACATATCGCTGGCGTAAACATTTTGACAGGTGACGAGATAAGGATGTAAGAGAGTGTAGGGTTTATGCGGAAAGCAGCTGGCCCTGCGCCAACCGTGTTCTGTTTAAAGCATCATTAAGATGACAGACTCCACTTGAGCTTTTGAAAGGGAAATCTGCAGTTCAAACAACAACAACAAAGTGGGTACCCCGTCACTGTTTTGGTAAACATTTGAGAATTGGAGCTGGACATTTTTTACCACTTTCAAATTCATAGACATTGCTATGGATGCAAGGACTAACCATCCATGAGATCAACATTTTAATTCAAAAATACATGTACCAATTGCAGATTGCCCCTTTAAACACTGCATATTTCTCTGGTTTCGAAGGTTCCTCCTACTACTAGAACTGCTAGATTTCTCATGTGAAACATATACACACTTACTGCATGCAGGCTGCGCAGTAGGCACTCCTAGTCCTATAGCCATCTAGGACATCTTAGTATGGAGTCAGTCCACCACCTAAAGGTATCATGTAACCCAGGGCTCTCCAACCCTGTTCCTGGAGAGCCACTCTCCTGTAGGTTTTTGCTCCAACCCCAGTTGTAACTAACCTGATTCGTCTTATCAACCAGCTAATTATTAGAATCATGTGCACTAGATTGGGGTTGGAGTGAAAACCTACAGGATGGTAGCTCTCCAGGACCAATAAACATTTTAGTATTTTAGGTTTCTCAAAATGGAAATCATTCTTTGAAGATTGTGTGATTAATCACATTTTCATCTATGCCATGCATTATAATGTGTTATGCATTTTTGCATTTTAGTCATTTAGCAGAAGCTCTTATCCAGAGCGACTTACAGTTAGTGAGTGCATACATGTTTTTTTTTTTTTTTTCATACTGCCCCCCCGTGGGAATCGAACCCACAACCCTGTCGTTGCAAACGCCATGCTCTACCAACTGAGCATAGTTAATAATGTGTTATAAATGTGTTATAAATGTGCTTATAAAACATTATGAAGAGGGTATCCATAGAAACAGAAAGTGTTACCAAATGTTATTAGAAATGATGCAACCAATCCAGTTGTATTATTCACAAACATTTCGTCAGTGTGTTTAAACCCCAGAGATAACAGAGCTGCACGAGCTTAGACACGCCACGAAGACCAACGTCTGAAAGCTGCGGTTGGCCGTCCTATCAACTCCGAATATCAGCCGTCATTTTCTGTTCATTTCCAGACGATTCTACGTGTTGAAACGGCGCAAACAGCCAATGTTTGTCGTCGCCCAGCAGGTGGTAGCTAACACGCTGCTCTTTAGCCGTTTGCCTCTTGCATGTCTGAGCTCTAAAATCTAATTTGCTGAACAGTGTCCTCTTTCCTCAGCAGCTCGGCAGATTGACATATTATGGCTGTGTGATCTATGTGTCTTTCAAGAGCTTGTTGTAACAACATGAGAGATGTCTGGGTTGAACGTATTTCTAGCTGGTTGTCATGAAGGTCACAATGGGCTCATGTAACGGTCATGATGATAGAGCATGGTGATATGACATATGATATAATATGCCTTCTCTTAGAGAAAAATATGTGCTAATTTTGTTTAGGGTTAAACGCCAAAGTGAAATGTAGTGTCACTGTCATCGCATGGACTTACAGCGGCTTAACAGTTACAGAGAAACTGTCTGCTGCTTCCCTATTCCCTATATGGTGCACTACTTTACATTAAATGGCACCCTATTCCCTATATGGTGCACTACTTTACATTAAATGGCACCATATTCCCTATATGGTGCACTACTTTACATTAAATGGCACCCTATTCCCTATATGGTGCACTACTTTACATTAAATGGCACCCTATTCCCTATATGGTGTACTACTTTACATTAAATGGCACCCTATTCCCTATATGGTGTACTACTTTACATTAAATGGCACCCTATTCCCTATATGGTGCACTACTTTACATTAAATGGCACCCTATTCCCTATATAGTGCACTACTTTACATTAAATGGCACCCTATTCCGTATATGGTGCACTACTTTCCATTAAATGGCACCCTATTCCCTATATAGTGCACTACTTTACATTAAATGGCACCCTATTCCTTATATGGTGTACTACTTTTGACCAGAGCAGTATTGCTCCTCTCTCTTGTCTCCTCTTCTCCTCCCATCTCTTTTCCCCTCTTACTTGTCTCCTCTCTCTCCTCCCCATATCCTCTCTCTCTCTTCCTCTCCCCTCCCTCCTTCCTGCTCTCTCTCCTCCCCTCCCCTCTCTCTCTTCCAGAGAGGCCCTGTACACTGTTCTGTTCTTCCACAGGGAAAGAGCAACCCCGCCTCCTGGCTGAGAAGGTGCTGGATGGAACCTCCTGCGGCCCTCAGGAGTCTGGCCTCTGTGCCAACGGGACTTGTCAGGTACACCAGTCATGTGACAGGGGACTTGTCAGGTACACCAGTCATGTGACAGGGGACTTGTCAGGTACACCAGTCATGTGACATGGGATTTGTCAGGTACACCAGTCATGTGACATGGGACTTGTCAGGTACACCAGTCATGTGACATGGGACTTGTCAGGTACACCAGTCATGTGACATGGGACTTGACAGGTACACCAGTCATGTGACATGGGACTTGTCAGGTACACCAGTCATGTGACATGGGACTTGTCAGGTACACCAGTCATGTGACATGGGATTTGTCAGGTACACCAGTCATGTGACATGGGACTTGTCAGGTACACCAGTCATGTGACATGGGACTTGTCAGGTACACCAGTCATGTGACATAGGACTAGTTAGGTTCCAGTGTGTTCTACATTTTCAGTCATTCTTGAGTAGATTTACACAATATTGTAGCTATCTTTCTCTTATAGTTATAAATAAAGCTGGAAGTTCAACTTTTTTTTGCATAGGTTAATGTCACACAAAACCCAAAGCGCTGGAGAGTTTTGTAAGTGTTATTTACAGTGATCTCACGCAACAAAACTTTTTTTTTCTGGCGTCTCTGATACAGTTTATTCTGATCTGATGTCACAGTTCTCAGACAGCAAAATTGTGAAAAATGTTCCATATTGCAGAACGAGAAAGTCATTTTCCAAGCTGTTTCCCAACACATACTTTTTTAATACCACAAAAAACGCATTCCATGTCTCCTTCCAAACAAAGTCTTCAATGTCAAGTCCAGCAAGAAAAAAGAATGTCCCCCCCACCCCCCCCTCCCAAACACAAACCATGTCCAATCTGACATTTGGAACTGTACCTCTCCAAAGTTACCAGCTCATGTGCTTAAATCACTGACCCAAAATGGCATCCTATTTTCTATTTAGTGCAACAACAAAAAAATTCCAGGGCCCATAGGGCTTTGGTCAAAAGTAGTGCACTATGTAAGGAATAGGGTGCAATTTGGGACGCATGCACATTCTTATCGGTGGAGCTTTACAGCCAACCTCCATTATGTTGACTGCACTCCCAGGAGCAGGTGAACGTGCCTTCAGTAGACAGACGATCGCTCCAATGACCAGAACCTCTTTCTCTGGTAGAAAACAGCACCATGTCGGAAAAAAATAGACAACTGGGGAATAATTCAGAAAACACAGGGATGATTTGCAGGGATTATTTCCTGCTATCTGGGCTGGAGAGAGAGGAAGAGAGAGAGAGGAAGAGAGAAAGTGCAAACGAGAGACAGACAGACAAGATAGAGAGAGAGAGAGAAGAAGAGCAAAAGAGGGACAGGCAGAGAGGCAGAGAGGTACAGTGGGGAAAAAAAGCATTTAGTCAGCCACCAATTGTGCAAGTTCTCCCACTTAAAAAGATGAGAGAGGCCTGTAATTTTCATCATAGGTACACGTCAACTGTGACAGACAAATTGAGAAAAGAAAATCCAGAAAATCACATTGTAGGATTTTTAATGAATTTATTT